GGCGATACCAGAACAGACCCCCACCCCCTACTTCCCATCTCTACCACAGTCCTCCAAGGTCAGAATTTCCCTTCCTCTGCTTTCACCTCACTCCATCATCCGCTCCAGTAGAACCTGCTGTCCTTCACACTCATTAAAGCCAGCAGCACTGTAACCCATTCTGTTTCTCATTTCCACAGCCTCCCATTAAGCCTAGGCAATTCCATGTTCAACCAAGAACTTCTCAGTCTATACTGACCTATTCATTTTTCCTCCTCCTCCTCCACCCTCAAAGCCACCAGACTTTGCTTGATAATATAAATATGTCAATTTGCTCTAGGTCAGTTCATGCCATATATCTTCAGTTAGCCTTCAGTGTTGCCAAGAAACACTATTAAGTTCCTCACAGTAGCTGCTGTAAAATTTTCCCATTTTATTCAAGATTTACCCTTAAATATTCAAGAAGAAACCACGACAAATCTGGGAGAAAGTGACAATGATATCTCTATGCTCATGACATCCTGGAAAGAGAAGCTGGAACTGTAAACTCCAGACTTTAGGATACCAGATTTCCCAGAGGTCTGAGAAAATATAGGCATGAATTCCACTGTAAGAGTTTCTAAAGGGAAAGATGATTTAACAGGGTTGGGAAGCTCTTAAAACTGTAAATCTGATTATATAATTGCAGATCATTCCAGCGAGGAAGCCAATGTGGCTTTTTAATTATCCTGGACCAGAGTCTAGTACTAAATATTAAAGGTACTAAATATGTTGTGATGTATAACAAAAAACAGTGACCCCTAAAAGCTAGCAAGGGCTCACTTGGGTTTTGATAGCATTACAGAACTAAGATTCATAAAAATGTGGTAGATGTGATGTATACAGAGGTGAACAAGGTTCAAATGAGATCTCTCATGACAATTCTAAGAACAAGATAGAAAATAATAACAACTGGAAGTCTCCAATGTTGTAATACTCTTTGAGCTGCCCCTAAATGGTGGCCCCAAGGCAGCACTAGGGTGTCAGAGAAGCAATGCTTACAGCAAAGAGGAGGCCGAGTTCCATGTCCTCCCTAAGGATCCTTCCAAAGCTACTAACATCATATATTCCATTAATGTGTACATTCTATTCAATTTTTTTGTTAAATATCTGTGCCTTCTCAATTTGGCATTCTCCATCTGAGTTTTTATACTTGTTGTATGCTATTGTCAAGCATGGACTTTGAAGTCATAGAACCTTAGTTCTCATCATTTTCTGTTCCAAATTACTCCTTGTGTGTTTTCTAGCTTGAGTCATGGTGCAACATCTTCCTAGTCAACCTGGCTCAAGACATTGGGGTCATCAATTCATTTCCATCAACTCATCTGACCAGTCAGCAAATGTTCACTAAGTGTCCTTGTCCTGAAGGAGCTCATGGCCAAGTAAAACAAATAAGCAATTGCAATCCAAACAGATGAGAGCTCTAATAATAGTACTAATAGAAGCTATGGGAGCACCAAAACGGAGGCCTGTGAGTCAAGGAACATTTTTTGAGTGGACAACTGAGTTGAGTTTAAAAGTTGAGTATTTCACCAAGCAAACACTAGAGAAAGGAGAAAGCCACTGTTAGGAAAGGAAGTGTAACGTGCAAAAGTTTGGAACTATGAACATACACAGTCAGCTTGGGAAATGGCAAGATGGATTTCTGATAGTGAAGACCATGGAAGGAACTGAGATGGCTCCCAGTGAATTGTGGTTAAGTGCTATCAGCATCCACCCACTCCCCCTAGTCAGAGCCCTGAAAGTTCATCCAAGATTCCATCCTTCTCCCTCATGCCCCATTTCTAATTAGTCATCACATCTGGGAAAATTTACCTTCTTAATCTCCCCTGAATATTTTCATTTCTTTTGTTTCCTCCATTGCAACTCTGTATTTCAGGTTCTCCCATCTCATCTGTCTTACTGCAATAGTGTATTATGACCTCCTGCTGCTAGGCATGTCCCTCCTCATCTATTCTTTACTCTCAGAGTGATCTTTCAGCAAAGAGGCCTCTGTCCTGTAAGAAATGATCCTGGATTTCCCCCTTCACCGACCTCCTCTAAATTCCCCCAAATTATTTTATTCCTATGGAAGAACTTACAACTTCTGTTTTGTACTATAGGTAGAACTCAAAGAGATAAGCCATTCAAGCCATCTGTTTTATCCACGCTCATTCCCAGAGAGTCCCACAGCGCTGCTAATTGGGTGTGAATCATGGATGGGACTCTGGACCACCACCTCTGCTTGAAACTACTGATGAGGGAAAATACCTGCCTCAAGCTAGACCAGTAAGATTTTCCACCACAGGAATTCTGTATTGTGATCTAGGCTTTAGTATGTAACTGCCATAGGACTGGCAGTACCATTTTGGGGCCATGTGTGCTGCTGTGCAGGTAGAAGACTACTGTGCAGAGAGAAGCAGAATAACACAGCTCATATGCAAAAAGGGGTAAAGAAAAGATACTGTGTGGTGGCTGGGCTAGTCACAGGGGTGAAAGAGAAACTGTGGTTCCTTTGTTGCCTTGTTAGTTCTGATTTTCTCATGAGACTTCCTCAATTTCCTGCTCACCAGCTTCTTATATTAATCTCTACTTTTATTTAAATTAGCTCAAGTGGGATTCCACTCCTTAGAATCAAATTATCCCTATGATATATGTATATGCAAAAATCCTTTTGCATTAGACTATAAGTTCCTTAAATAACGAATCCATAGCTTGTTTACCATTGTATTTCTCAGATAATATAGCACAGTACTTTACACATAGTTGAATCAAAACCTGTCTGGTGAACTAAACATAACTACAGAAGAGGTAAATGACTTTGAACTTGAATAATTAGAAGCAATTACATAGGCAAAGGAAGTCCAATACTTTCAAGGATAGAGGTATAGGAGTAGGGAAGAAATTCAGAAGGAAGCCACCTTAGCTAAACTTGACTTTTAGGGATAGTTTTTGTGGAAGCTAACCACACACTTTCGTACCCACAGCAGGTATTACCATCACACTCCTGGTCAAAGCCTGGCAAAGATAAAGGAGAAAACCTAGGCAGTCATAGCACAGCATGTTCTGATTAAGAAACAGTGACCTCAGTTCTTAAAGATCAGTAACGGATAACCAGAACAAAATGGCAAGGCGACCACCAACATACTCAACAGCTGCAGCCCTCACCCCTCGTACAACAGACGTCATCTGAGAAATTCATCAGGAAAACTTACCACATTTTAGTTCTTAAAATAAATTTTCTCTTTTTCACAAAGATTTTAAAAGGCATATTTTCATAAATGATAATTTTTATATCCTTATATTAAGAAGGTAGAGAAAAAACATGGTGTTTCCATCTAGATATGATTATCTTCATTTTTTATTTTGAAAATTATATAATTAATAAACGACTATCATTTTTAAATATTATTTCTTTAGAGCCAGCAAATGTGCTTGAGGCTTCAAAGCCTTGACTCCCTTTTTGTTGTATTTTACCTTCAAGAAAAGGGTTCCTGATGAAGTAATGGCTCAGCTATAAAAAAATAAAAATTAAAAAAGACCTAGAAGGCCATGAAAGTAATAAGAGAAACTCATACTATGAAGATTTCCTGACTACACCCTTACAACTTGAAAACTAAGGAAGCAGTCCAATCAAGTACACACAATGGGATATGACAGAAAGGCAGATAAAAAACAAGGCTGGATTTCCTGGTTTGATGTGAAAGTCTTCCTCTTTTACTGCCAAACAGAGTGTGGCTGCACAATCAACAGGACCAGGTGGCACAACCGTTACTGGGCCTTTTGATTTGATGGTGAGAAACTGGCAAGCTTGTAAGAAGGACTATTTAGGGCTCAAGGGGTTGACATCACTTTTGGATAATGAGTTAGGCTTTAAAATGATGACATTGCAATCACACCACTTGAGAGGAAAAAAAGAAAGTACAACTGTTCCTAAGTAGCTATGAGATCATTTAAATCACACCAATCTTCATATAACTGAAAAAGTGGCACAGGGTAGTGTTTCTTATATATGAAACACTCTTATATATAACACACACATTTGATTTGGCTTATTTTGCTAGGCATAAGAAGCTAAGTATGGAATAAACCTGATACAAGCAGCACATTGTAGCCATCCATTCAGTGCTGACTCTCCTAATCATAGGACATTCCCAGGAGGGTACATCCTGTACAAGTGAGATGACCAACAAGCAAGACATTAAACTAGAATAAAAGTAAATCAACAGGCTCTTTTCTAGATTGTATACCTTTATAGTCATTTCCTGTGAAGCATAAACCAGACATCATCTATAATAAACACTTAATGACATAGCTAAAACTTACTGCTTTTCTTTCAACATGAATACCAGTTCTAAGAAGAAAACAGGCATAGCATTTGGTCAAGCAACTAGGTCCAGCAGTTTCTTCAGATCAAAATGAAGTGGCCATCCATGATGCTCTGGGACTATGTCATGTATATTTAAGTTAGATTGATTTCTGACAGCTTCCACAAAAACATGGTACCCCTTTCCTTCTTACAATAGGGTAGTTTTTAATGCCATAGGTGAAATCAATACCGAAAAAGAATGCCATTCAAATATACCTTCATGTTCATATTTTAAAGCAAAGGAACCTGGGGTCTCCTGAATATGTCTAGACTTTGCATGGTTTAACACTAGCATCTGCAAGGAGAGGACTGGTTGTTTGATGCAATGAATTATCTGTGGTACACAAGTACAAATAGGACACATGACATTAAATAAGTAGAGGCTCAGAATATGCTCATGTTTTACACCAAAAAACAAAAACAAAAATGTGACTGCCTGGTAATTCAAGGAACATACAGGCAACCAGTTGAGGTGGCAGCTAAGAGTGACTTCTGAAGAATCAGGACCAAAATACACCAGAAACGATGCTTCAATAAAGAAATAATAATTAAAATACACAAAAAGTTTACCTAAAGACCACCTAAACTGAGTTCTGCCTGTCACCTGTGGTTTTTCCTACCAGAGATCACCTACCCCAGGGCAAAATTGCAGTCCTCCTTCCAGTCCACAATGCGGCAGATGAACAGTGTGTTGGCATAATCTTTAGGCCGTGCCACAAAGTCCTGGGGACAGTCCTTGAGAGGCACATAAATTCTAGGCACTCGGTGGTCTGAGGGAGAAAACAGGGCGTATTTCCTAAACAGTTCGCTGTTCTTATCAGCCAAGAGTTTGAGGAAGCCGGTTGCTGCTCGAGAATGTTTTTTCTCCAAGATGTAAACCACCTGAAAACACCAAAGATATAGTCAATGTTGTTTATCTGCAGTACTGAATTACACTTGGGAGAGGTCAGCAGGTTATAATTTGATCAACTAGCAGGAACCAGCAGTTTTTCTAGGTCAAAATAAGTGCCTCTCAGTGATGATCTGTGACTAAGTAATCTATATTTAAGTAGCAACAAGTATCTAGTAAGCATATATATCCAAGAAAAATTATGCAATACATGGATGAATTAAATCAAAGAGCTTTTATTACCATGACCTGTGTCTTATAAAGACATGTGGGACTCCAGCAGGGAAGTATAGCTCCAGGTATTTGTTTCACATTATACTTTTCTCCCATGAGCAATACCAGTATCTCACAGAAACAACACGGTAGGTGCTTTTTGTAAAAGAAAAAGGGTTATTAGACATAAATTACTTCTCTTAATTATGTCTTCAACAGCTGAAAGGAGAAATATTTCATCTTCCTCCTTTCCAAGATTAAACCCAAGCTCTAATTTGACTAGATGAAGATTGAGGTCACCGCTCCACCACATACACATGCGACTTCCATTGAGAGAGAAGTATTCTCCGAGAAAACGAGTCTTCTCCCTCACCCACTCCCCACCCGCCGAACGCATCCCTCCTGCAGTGCTTCCTTTCCCCACTGTAGCCCGTCTGCAGGTTCATCCCTTCCTCAGAGCTGCTTGCCGACATCCACCAGACCCCTGAACAAAGATTCAGCCTGCAGTTGAGCTGGCTGCTGTTCTTCTCTATGTCCCTGACTCCATATGGAATCTCAGCCCATTTGCAGGAAACCTCCAAACCAGTTGAGTGCACCACACCTCTCCCCCAGTCACTCCCAGCTACTACCCCACAAGAGAGCACCTTAGGGCAACCGTCTTCTCATGCAAGCTCACTCCCAAAACATGCTCTACTTTTTCCCTCTTAACTCTTCCTTCTTCCCTGAAAAACAACTATTTTAAACAAACTGCCGTACCCTCTTTCAAGAAGGCTGTGGGACGCCCCCCTCCCCCTTGCATGTAACTATCTGTCCTAAGGACTGTCTTCCCCAGCCCATTTGGGAAGAGGATGCTCCTTTTCCCACATACGGCCCCTGAAATTGGTGTCCGCGTTTTCCCATGCTGCACCGCCACACCCAGACCTTTACTCTTCCAGCCTCATGCATGTATGTGCACCCTCTTCTGGTTCAGGTGGTCCCCTTCTTGTTATTATCATCTCCTGGCCTCCTGGTTACTCTGTGAAATCTGGCTTACAATCTGGCCCTCCCACATCTACCTAGGTGAGTAACTTAGTCAACATCCTGTCCTCACCGTTCCCCTATCTCTTCAATGCCAGCAACCTTCACTTCTATTTGACTTCAAAAACTCGTCCTCATGGCCACACCTCAGCATCATCTGGAACTAGTCCAGTTCCAACACCCGCTCTCTGACGAATCCATCACACAGCTCACTTGTTCTCCAGTGCTGCACTCCACAGGCTTTTTCACCACATCAAGACTTCTAGCACCTTTAACCCTTGCCTGTTCTCCAAGTCTGTTAGCTACGTCTAAGCCTCAAATCCTTTCCTCCCTTCCCAGAGCCACCGTGTGTGTGTGCGTGTGTGTGTGCGCGCGCACGCACAATACCAATACCACATGCACACTTTTTTTTTTTTCCTTTGGAGACAGCCTTGCTCTGTCACCCAGACTGAAGTGCAGTGGTGTGATCTTGGCTCACTGCAACCTCCGCCTCCCAGGTTCAAGCAATCCTGCCTCAGTCTCCTGAGTTTCTGGGACCACAGACATGTGTCACCAGTCACCACGCCTGGATAATTTGTTTATTTAGTAGAGACAGGGTTTCACTATGTTGTCCAGGCTGGTGTCAAACTCCTGACCTCAAGAGATCTGCCCGCCTCGGCCTCTGAAAATGCTAGGATTATAGGCATGAGTCACTGCATCCGGCCTTGAGCCACCATATTCTATCACCTCAAGTCCTCTTACTCAAGCTGTCAAATGCCTTCTCTTCTGATCCTTCTACCACCTCACCCTAAAAACCCTCAGTCCTGGAACATTTCAGGCACCAGTATTCTCCAACCTTAAACGCAAGGTATAGAGTTGATCAGCAAAGAAATTACAATTGTACAGATGGATAGCATTATACATTGTTAAACACCTTTTGCTAGAACCTTAAATTCTCTGAAGATATATTTTCACCTGTCCCCATTCTGCACAATCTCTCCTTTCATCTTCACTCTCTTGATCCTCTCCCAGGGCTCCAGTTTTCTCAATGTTCAATCTTTTTGTTGTCCCACAACTCCCTGAGGCTCTGTTCAATTTTTTTCAGTCTATACTTTCTCTGTTCAGATTGGGTAAATTCTACTGATCTGTCCTCAAGTTCAATGATTCTCTGTTGTGTCGTCTCTACTACTGAGCCTATCCAATAGTGTTTTTACTTCTGTTATTGTACTTTGCAGGACTATAATTCCCATTTGGTCCTTTTTATAATTTTTTTTTTTCTTTTGAGACAGAATCTTGCTCTGTTACCCAGGCTAGAATATAGTGGCATAATCTCGGCTCACTGCAACCTCCGTCTTCCGGGTTCAAGTGATTCTCCTGTCTCAGCCTCCCTAGTAGCTGGGATTACAGGCACATGCCACTGCACCCAGCTAATTTTTGTATGTTTTTAGTAGAAACAGGGTTTTGCCATGTTGGCCAGGCTGGTCTTGAACTCCTGACCTCAGGTGATCCGCCCACCTTGTCCTCCTAAAGTGCCGGGATTACAGGCGTGAGCCACCATGCCCAGCCTTTTTATAATTTCTAAATTTTTGCTGAGATTTTCTATTTTCTCAAAGGTTTCAAGAAAGTTTTTAATTGCTTATTGAAGCACTTTTATGATGGCTATTTTGAAATCATTGTTGGGTAACTGCAAGAGCTCAGTGCTGGCATCAAATGATTGTCTTCTTATTCACGTTGTGATCTTCCTGTTCTTGGTATGACGGGTGGTTTCCAATTGTATCCTGGACCTTTCGGTTATCATGTTAAGACACTCTGGGTCTCATTTAAATCTTTTATTTTAGAAGGCAGTCACACACCCTGTTGAGGTTTAGCATGCAGGTCCTGACCTACTTTTGTGGGCTGTAGTTTCAATGACAATTTCCTTGGAAAACAGCCTTTGCAGTGCTATCTTGGTATGTTTGGTTTATATGGTATCACTGGGGCTCCCGCTGGTCTCTACTGGTACTGCCTTCGTGGGCGGAAAGAAATTCCCCAAGCCAGGCCACCTGGTCTAAGTGTGGAATGGGGATCTCTAGCCTGCAAGGACAAAGAAGCTTCCCATTTTGGGTTTCTTGTTGTGGCAGGATCTCCTTTACTGGTGCTACCTGGCTGCCCAGCGTTTCTGAGTGGAAGAGGGAAGTCTCTGGTCCACAAGGATAAAGAGGTTTCCTGGACCACACACACATTATGACCAGATCTCCTTTGCTAATGCCACCCAGCTGCGTGGTATCTCTGGGTGAAGGAGGGAAGTTCTCTTGCCTGTGAGAACATGGGGGCTTCCCATACCTGACTGCATGCTGTGGCCAGATCACCTTTCCTGGTGTTTTCTGGGTAGATGCCCAGCGTCTCTGGATGTTCAGTGCCTCTGGGCAGAAGACAGTCTCAGCCCCACAGAAACAAAGAGGCTTTCTGGGCTGGGCCACTTCTAGAATCTTTCTTGTTGGAGCCACTCAGATACCTGATGTCTCTTGGTGGGAAAGAGAAGCTGCAGGTTCAGGGAGGAAGGAAAGCCCTTCTCTTAACCACTTATTGTCATTAGAGCTCTTTACAGGTGCTGTGGATTGCCTGGTATTGCTGGAGGGATTTCTGTTAGATCTGGGTGAGAATGAGTCTAGCTGGACCACCCTCTATTGCCAGGTTGGCATTCAGAAACACTGGGCTTGGGCCACCTTCTGTTGTTGCTGTTGTTGGTGGGGGGTTGTGAGGTCCCTGCTGTTATGATGTTTCTCTAGTACTGGCGAAACTAGTTTGCCTTCCTCTTTTCACCTTTTAGAATTCTCCTTTGGTTGCCTCTTGTTTTTTCCAGGGTTTACAGTTATCCTCAGTGGGAGGAGCAAGAAAAAATAGGTCTATGCCATCTTGTCTGAACTGGAGATTCTTGTTTCTTGTTTTAATGTCTGACAGCACGGAAGTGTATAAAGTAGGTTGACATTACTACATTAGTTGCAATTCATATAATGTTGATTGTCATGGAAATGACTCTACCATAGCATAAGTTTCACAGGCAAGTGCTGTTTTGCCTTGTGATTTTTGGTTGAATCCACTAAAAACATTATCCAAAAGAAAGGGAGATAGGGACAAGGGAGAAGGGAGAGGGAAAGCATGTTTGGAGGACAGGAGCAAATCACAGAACACAGGTTCCAGGGCTGCCTCTACTCAGCTCTGACTGCAGTCATTTAGGAATTTGGCCTAGTGTTACCAAATGTTTTGTTTTGACAAGAGAAGCCAAAAGTCTAATTTTTAATGTGAACACCCCCACCCCCGCCCACCGATGACTCTTTTTTTTTTTTTTTTTTTTTTTTTTTGCTGAAAGCAATGAAGTCAAAATTTTTAAATACTGCAAGGTCAAACAAAATAGGTCTGTGAGCCAGATCCATCCCCAGGCTTTCCATTCATTCTAATCTCCCACACCTAGCATGTTGCCTGGAGCACAGTTAGTACTGAAATATACAGAGTATAATTTAGAAATTCCTCATGTCAGTATGCAAGAGCAATACTCTACTAACCAACCTGCTGGGTAGAGTAAGCACACTGCATTCTCAGATGAAACACACTGATGGATGCTTCTGAAACATAAAGTCTCATGCCATTATGCCACTTTATACTTTGCCCTTCACCATTTCTACCACTTTGAGCTATCTGCACAGTTAGAAGTCAGCTGTGTTTGGTCAAGCGTGTGGGCTCACACCTGTAATCCCAGTACTTTGGGAGGCCGAGGCGGGCAGATCATGAGGTCAGGAGTTTGAGACCAGCCTGGCGAAACCCCGTTTCTACTAAAAATACAAAAAATTAGCCAGGCCTGGTGGTGCACGCCTGTAATCCCAGCTACTCGGAATGCAGAAGAATCGCTTGAACCAGGGAGGCAGAGGTTGCAGTGAGCCAAGATCTCGCCAAGCACTCCAGCCTGGGCAAAAACAGTGAAACTCCGTCTCAAACAAACAAAAGAAGAAGTCAGCTGTGTTTCATCCCACATCTGAAAATGACACTAGCTTATATAATTAAAGAATACAAATGAATTGTGCAAAATGGTGAAATAGGAATATAAAAACAATTGTTTCATAACTAAATTGAATACTTTGGAAAAACTAAAAAAGACATTAAAAATTATTTTAAATTAGGTATGGGCATGGTAACAATAAAAAAAACTGGAGCAAAAACTGTACAAATCTGAAGAGAGTCTATATTCATACTTCTTCTCCAGTGTCTAATTCTCACTCCACTCACTCCACCAAAACTGGAAGTGATAAATGCTGCATTACAAGTGTGGTTTAAGCAACAAAGATAACATAGAACTCCAATCAACACACCCACACTCAAAGAAAAGGCCTTGACCCCCTATCCAAAGGCATTACAAGTGTGGTTTAAGCAACAAAGATAACATAGAACTCCAATCAACACACCCACACTCAAAGAAAAGGCCTTGACCCCTTATCCAAAGGCAGGCAGATGGATTCATATTTATATGTTTAAAGTTTTTTTTTTTAATTCACTTTTTATGATTCTCTGCTCTAACTTTTCTGATTAAATGAACAAATACAGTCCTGACGAATCACACAAGATCTTCAACAAGGAGCTCAGGTGAGAGCCATTTGGACATGTGAAGAAAATCTGTAGGCAATGACCTTTGCTGATCTTTGCAGGGATTTCTCCAGTAAAGCTCTTGTGTCTTGTGAAATGCAGGTGGTCTCATCTTTTGTAACTGGTGCATCACCATCCTCTCTTCCTACATTAAAAAGACAAAGAAAGAGAGAAGAGGAGGCATCAACTAGACGCATATCAATTAGTGGGATTTTAAAATTCAATCTAGAAGGATGCTTGGATACCAGTTACCCCAAACTACTCACTTTACAGAAGAACCCCAGGCCCCCAGTGGACCTGTCACATACCTGTATTATACTCATACTGAGCATTCAGCCTCAGCAGACCACATTTTATCTACTTAACATTATTCACATACTATCATAAATATCATACAAGTGGAGAACATCAAACTATGCTGAATTAAACTAAATAGCCTGTGTGTCAGAATGCCAAAAACCTAGATGTTAAATGCTGCCCCAGCCCAAAATGAAGAATAGAGATAGATTAATTTATTATGCACATCTGCTGAAATAAAACAAAATCATAATAAATGTTAACTTTTAAAAGTACTTTGGTACCAGCCATAACAAACAAAATGGTGGAAAATAGATTATATTTATTAAATAAATAAATTTTAAAACCCAACCCTGATTTTCCTGGCTTTTTCTTAGTGACATTATGTAAAGAGTAAAGTACTTAAAGTCTTTTAATGTTTAATTTCCTTTCTTAAAAAACTTATAAAATGCACATTCACCCAAGAAACTGAAACCACATCTCCCGAGGAAAGAGGCAGTTAGGCTCTCTACCAGAAGTATTAAAAACACTCATGAACAAAAGTAGCAAATTACACACTTCTAAACATTTAAAATTTTGAATCTTTACTTGTTAATTAGATTTCCCCACAAAATACTCTTATCCAACTATGTTAGGGATTCTGGATTCTAGGGGTCACAACCAATTTACACGGGAGCCTCTCCAGAGAGCTAAGAGAAACTTGCACTTATCATCATTTAGATGTTGCCAAGGCCAAAATAAATAAATCAATCCTTTTCAGGACTGGCTGCCTTTTAGCAAAAACTCAACTTAAAGCCAACTTTTACCATTCTGGGCGTACTCTGGAAACACTGACATGATCTGACCTACCGGGGTTTAAGAATGATCAACTGTTTGCTTTTCCATCTATGCTGAAATCTACCTACTGAAGTGCCCTCTGAATGCAGAATCCTCATTGTTTTCCAAAAAGTAAAAGCAAACACAAACTTTCCTATTGTAAATTGCCGTATCAGTGAAAGAGGACATCAGCAAGGTTCATCTTTTCTTTTAAACCCATAATTCAGGATTCCAAAATCGTCAGATGCTTTTAGAACATTTTTTATAATTGTAGAGAGAAAAAAAACCACACAGAACAAACAGGTTGTTGATCTGTTTGTTCCATAACATATCTCACCAACATGCTCTGCAGAACAAGGTAATTGAGGAAAAACATTAAAGCGTGGAATTACCATGAATAAGTATCCTCTACTTAGATATTTGACACTAGTTTGGTCTCAAATGCTAGCAATCAAGACATTGCAGCGAGAGGACTGTGTTTCCAAGGCAGCCTAAATCCTGGGCAAACAGCTTTCTGTGATGATCACTGATGGCTCCATCTTCAAATGATCGTTACCTCAAATTCCATCCCAACAACAGCAAGTCGACTATTCAAAATGTTATACCAAATTACATCTAAAGAGAGAAGGTAAGCTATAGAAGTGGGCCCAATCATGATTTTCTATCAGACTGAACATGACCTTTTCAGGTTCTATATTCAGAAGGGTATCCTGGCAGAAATGAGGCTTTGTTCAGACAAAGTTACATTCTAATAAACTAAACCAAGCTTTAAAGCCTTACAGGTGAGAATCATAGATAATGGTCAATGGATATAAAGAAACACAATGTCAGGATGAAAAGGTGAATCACCTTAATACATTTCCAACAACCATGTCTTGCCACACTGAATAGTAAAGTTGTCGGCTGGTCTAGGGTGGCTCATGCCTGTAATCCCAATGCTTTGGGAGGCCAAGGCAGAAGGATGACTAGAGCCTTGGAGTTCAAGACCAGCCTGGGCAATATGGCGAAACCCTATCTCTACTAAAAATATAAAATTTAGTTGGGCATGGCAGCGCTTGCCTATATATCCCAGCTACTCAGGAGGCTGAGGTGGGAAGATCACCTTAGCCTGGGAATTCAAGGCTGCAGTGAGACGAGATTGCACCACTGCACGCCAGCCTGGGCAAAAAAGCAATAACCTGTCTCAAAAAAAAAAAAAAAAAAAGCAAAGTCGTCAATTTAATGAGACTCTACTACATTGTTTAATCATAAGATCACTTATTATTCATTTATTCCATGTGTATTTATTGAACACTGGGCATTGAAGATCCAGTGTTAAAAGAAATATGATCCCAGCCCTATAGACTAATGTGGGAATATTATATAAATAATCACTCAATAAATATAAAATTATAGGGTGGGCATGTTGGCTCAGACCGGTAATCCCAGCACTTTTGGAGGCTGAAGTGGGAGGATCACTTCAACCCAGGAGTTCAAGACCAGCCTGGGCAACATGGCAAAACCCTATCTCTGCAAAAAATACAAAAAAAATTCGCCAGGTGTGACGGTGTACACCTGTGGTCCCAGCTACCTGGGAGGTTGAGGTGGGACAATCACTTGAGCCCAGGAAGTAGAGGCTGCAGTAAGTCAGGATCGTGCCACTACACTACAGTCCTGGCGACACAGTGAAACTCTATCTCAAAAAAAAAAAAAAAACCGTGAAAGAATAATCCCAAAAAGAAGCGGGAAAGGACATACGATTTAGATTAGAGATCAGGGAAAGATTTTAAATTGAGACATGAGGACAGTGTATACAGGAGTGAAGAAGAGAATGAGAGACCCAGGATAGGAATGGCACACAGGAAAGGGCAAAGGCAGGAAGTTCTTCACACAATCAAGGACCAGAACAAAGACCATGAGGCATGGCTGGAGCACAGTCAGCAAGAATGGGCATGGCTAGAGATGAGAATGAGAGGCAGATGGGTGCCAAGTCAGGTGTGGGCCTTGCAGAATACAAAAAGCCAGAATTTAAGTACAATAGCAAGATGGTTAAGGATTCTGTGCAAGAGAGCAACATTGCCCAGGGCAAGATAAGAGCAGGCTAACAATGGGTGTAGGGAGACCAGTTAAAAGCTACTGCAATAGTCAAGACATGAGAGGATGGAGCTGTGATGCAGGCACTGGAGATGGAATTAGGATATATTTTGGAATTGAATAGTCTTGGTGATAATTACATATGAGAGCTTAAGGATTATCAAGAAGTCAAGGATTATTTCCAGCTTTCTGACACCAGCAACTTGGTTGATAGTGGCATCACTTATGGCACAGGAAAGACGAGAAGAAGGGGTAAAGATCAGTAATTCTGTTTCGGAGGTGGTTCTATTTGAGAGGTCACATATGAGACTTTTAAGTGAAGAAACTGAGTAAGCAATTCAAAATGAAGGTCTGGAACTCAGAAGATAGACCTGGGCTGTTGCTTTACATACAATTTATATGCTGAGAAACTTTCCAGCCCAAGCTGGAGAGAGGATATTCAAATGCAGATCTGTGCAGCCACTAAATCCATGAAACTCTTCCAGTGCACCACACTGCTATACGCAAAAGTAAGGGATAATGTTCTATCGCTGTTAATGAAGAAAACTCACTGAGGAAGTGAGTTGAGGCTTGAAGGATATATAGATATAGATGTTTCAAAGAGAAATAAGGAAGTTGAAGGCCACTCCAGACAAAGGCCAGAACTTGTGAAAGGCCTAGATCTATTAGCAGGCCTGCCATGGTAAAGGCCCAGTAAAAGATTTATGGTAGCTACTAACAGGTTGGGGGACACAATGCTGCATTGGGAGGGACTAGAATAGGGGGAAATAAGGCTGGTAGAATGGCCCCGTGGGAGGGACTAGTTACTGCCCAATTATCCAGCCTCTTCTTTCCTAGCAAAAAGAATTCCAATTTTTAGCTGGGCATACTGCCACCTAGTTAAAAGGCCACATCCCTCAGCCACTTCCCTGCAAGTCTACATTTTAGGCAACAAGATCCTGGGGAAAGTGTGTTGTTAGTGACTTCCAGGAATACCCTTACAGGGCAGAGTAAGGGTATTCCTTCACTCTCTTCTCAATCCTGCGGCCTGGAATATGGATTTGATAGCTGGGCCTTGAACACTCATCCTGGTCCCAGAGGCCACAGATCAAGGGTGTTTTCTACTCTGCAGAGCAGCACAACAGAATGAGCTGAAGACTGTGGAGCTATCCTACAAGCCCTGGCCTGCCTGTCTCTGATCTTCTTCTACGTGAGATAGAAATTAACTTCTTTCTTGTTTAAGTCATTGATATTTCAGGATTTAATGCTATTTTCTACAGAATATACTTTCTAATATACAGGCCCAGACAATGAAACTGACAAGCTAGGACACTATCCTATAAAGCATTATAAAAGCCAGGGCAATTCTTCTCTTGAGAGTTATATATCACACATGTATTTTAGGGCTATGAATTTGGTAGCACTCTGGAATGAAGAGACAATGGTAGCAGAGATCTTAGAAAGCTAAGGTTAGAATCTAGGTGAGACACAATCAGAACCCAAATTAAGATAGTGGCAGTGATTTAAGTCCAAAGCTGACAAATCCAAGCTTGTTCAATCTCTGAATGAAGGGCCACAGAAATTTACAATTTCCAAAGAGAATTCAATGAAAAGAATGCAATATGTATTTGTAAATGAAAATATGTCCCTTCTGGATCTCTCAAAACCAACACGGAAAACTTTTCTTACGGGCCCCCCTCTCTCCAGTAAAATGTAGAAATGAAAACACAAGTCCTCACAGGGGCAAGGCAACATACACTGTGAATAATCATTTGTGATGCTGCACGCTTGCTGGGCATACCGAGTGCTTAGGATCATTCTAGGACCCCACATCTAGCTCCTGTTAAGGCAAAGACTTGGGAGGGACAGTCTTCAGGAGCACCAATAAGCTCCTTTCTTCACAAAATCCCTAGGCCTAAGCAAATTTCACTCTGATATAGAGCTAGTGAAAATGTATGATGCCAAAGAATTTTCACAGCA